AGCTCCAACTTTGGAAAACGCCACCGTGGCCCGAGAGGCAGCGAATCCGCTCGAGCAGCTGCCCTAAATAAAATACCTGCTCGCCGCTTTTAAATTCCTCCTCCGGGTCACCAAGGACACTAACACAGGGCAAAAACTTGTGTTGTCTTCTTTTTTTTTTTAAACTATTTTTGCTGTTTTTTTTTTCTGTCATTCAGACAGCACAGCTCTACTCTTCGGGGCAAAAGGTTGTTCTTTTTGTTCCCCTTTTTCCCTCTTATTTTCATTTGTCTCATGGTTTTATTTTTACCTGTGTTAGAAGAATATGCCTGATTTTTTTTTTCCTCCCCACTTTACTGCATTGTTACTAAAAGTAAGCATTTATTTACCTGGCAATCAGCATCCTCTTAAATGCATCACCTTGAGTTTCTCAGTAATTATAAATAAACTTAGGAAAGGGCTAAAAACTTGGGTTGAGATCGCGGGGAGACACTCAGCCTTAACTGCAGGAGAAGCCTGAACTTGGCCTCAAATATTATCCTCAATTAAGGAAAAAAAAAAAAATCTCCATGCAGCCGACTGCTCGCACGGGCAGGAGCCCCCAGGACTGAGGAGGGCAGATAGGTGCCATAAAAACCCTATCCCCGTAATGTTTATTTTTGCTAAATGGAAGCTCCTGCAGGAACTTATTGATATTGTCAATTCCAAGTATTTAAAAAATATGTACTAGGCGCCCCCAAAACAGACTTGTTCAATTTGGTGAGAAGCAGAAAGAAAAGAAAGTGGCATCTTTGCTATTTTTTTGCCGCCCTCCTCTCCCTTTTTTTTTTCTGAAGGACCTCATTTTCCAGAGTTTATTTTGCCTTTTAATTTGTGACAATTCTCGTGCCCAGAAGGCCATGTACATCTGTATTTTAAAGTGCAGCCTGAGATTTCATATAATTAGCTAATTCTAGACCTTGAATTAAAGATTTAAAAGCGAGTCGACTGATAATTTTGTAAGAATTGGCAGCACCGCAGTAGTAAAATCCATATTTAATTTTTAATCTTGGCCTGTAGAAGCATTTTAAAATAATGCGGCAAGTGGAATGATTTACTTTAATATCTTTATAAGCACTCAATTTGTCTTTAAAATGAGATCGCGGTGTGCCGTTGCGATCCACGACTTTTTTTTTTTTTTCTCGTTTCCTTTTTATTCCTTGCTGCTTTGGGAGCAGAAGGCCGGCAAAGGAGCTCAAACTTCACCCTGAAGATGCTCCCTGTACCCCTGGGAGGACACTGGGCTGCTGTTAAAATAAAAATGCTCTTTTGGGGCTCAATTTATATTGTTGAGGGATCCGAAGGGTGCCCAGATCCCATCAGAAATCTCAGATTGGAGCTGTTTAAAACAAAAAACTCAATCCCTCTGATGGGATCATTAGTTTCGTTTGGAAAATTCCAGGCTGGCCAAGGGCATTTTAGGAGTTATGATCTTGGTAGAGCAGCCAGTGGGATGTGTGGAAACCTCTGAGGGATTTCAGTGGATCCCTCGCTGTACAGAGAAGTCGGGTAACCCTTGGCTGTGTCTCTTTACAGGTTTAGCACACAATGTGCCATTTAAGCCCTATCACTGATATCTGTGATCAGAGGACAGAGGACAATGCAATGTGCTTGCATCTGGTTTTGTTAAATGTAATAGTCCCAATTTCAGGCTGTGGCCCCTGGATCAGCTTTTTAGAAATCTACTACAAAAACTGGAGCAACCGCAGAGCTAAAGCAAATTTCTTTGTTACCACTTATTTTTTGTCCAAGCTAGAAAAAAATAGAAGCATTCTAGAGAGAAGAATAGTTTATATCAGCCTTTCAGTTTTATCACGCTTATATTCCTAGATTTCATTGTGTTGCTGTAGGTTAAGAAATAGTTTCCTTCTAGACTGATGATAAATTGCTGTGAAAGAATTAAAGCAGCAGAAATGCCCCCCACAAAGTTTAAAATCACATATGCTTCAGTGAAACGTTAATGTTGTGAAAATATGCTTTCTATCTATCTATCTACTTTTTTTTCCTGTAATTTTCTGTTCTTAATCTTGGGCAGTCTTTTACATAAAAGCAGCTCGTTGGAGCCGCAGCGCGAGTAAATCGCGGCCGGCAGAGGAGCTGACGCAAGGAAGGGGCAGAGGAGAAATACTGCGTTTCATAAACACAATCACTAGAGCATTAGGAGAGCAAACATGTGGTTTTATGAACATAGTTATAAATATTTAAACATGCAAAATGAAAATGTTACTAAATGTCTGGGTTTCATTATCTTTCAATGAACATTTTCATTCTTGGAAGCATTGCTAGCTGTCTGCAGAAAATGATCACCGCCCCCCGCCCCAAAATGAATGATGTGTAAAATGAAAGCGTGTTAAAACGCACAGTTGTTTGCAAGATCTTCTACCAAAGTGGAAGACATTCTACCAAATTTGGTATTCTACTGAATCGCAAAGTATTCTTGCAGTACAAACAGGGAACTACCCTGCTCCTGTCAGCAACTTTGTTGTGAGACGTTATGAAAAAGCCAGGGACGGATCTGGAAGTGCGAGATGTCACTCAGCGTGCCGGAGCTCTGTCCTGCCATCCTTCCTCCGGCAAAGCGCCTCCGGAAGCCAACGCAAGGCGCTGCTGCCGATTCTGCTGCTAGTAACGTGTTGTTTTGAAGTGTCAGCAAGTGCCGGAGGCTCCGCGTGCCCCGTGGGAGAGGCTGGACGCGCTGGGCCCCGCAGGGTGGGGAGGCTGCGTCCTGCGCCGGGGCCTGCGCTCGCGTGAGCGGAGTCCCGGAGGAAATGGAGGCCGCGCTGCATGAGCCTGGCAGGTGGCTGCTTGGCGCCCTCCCACCCGCGCACCCCTCATCGCGCTGCTTAGGTCACCAGAGAAGAGGCCAAATGATTTTTATTTTTTTTCAATGCACCAGGAAAGCCGTTTTAGATTAGTTGCGTTGTTAATCTCGACTCTGCCATGAGTTTGGGAGGCGCGTGGCAGCGGCGCGGCGTGTCCCCGCACTCGCGCGCACCCACTTGCTCCTTGCTGTTTCTCTTGTTGTTGCTCCCCCTGATAAATCCGCCCTTGCTGCAGCCAAGACGGAGATCCCTAAGACAAAGGGCTCAAATGGGGAGTTTTTATTCCTGTGGTTTTGCAGAGGGCCCCACGCTGCGGGCTAAGGCGCGCGCGAACGCTGCCCCTCTCCACTTGCTGCTGTCTCTTGCGCACGGCAGTGCGGTGCCAGGGCCCCCGCCTGGCATTTCCGTATTTCAGTTCTTGCTCCAGAGCGAGCAACGGCAGCAAACCCCAAAGAGAAGGCGGCCGAGGGGTAAACTTGGAGGGCAGTGTGGCTGCTGAGGAGAGCAGGGGG